GGTTTCACCATGTTGGCCAGGCTGGTCTCGAACTCCTGGCCTCAAGCAATCTGCCCATCTCAGCCTCCAAAATTCTTGGGATCACAGACATGAACCATCGTACCTGGCTTGGATGTATCTCAATAGAGACAGTCTGAGTAAGTCCAGATTGCTTGAGGCCACAGTCTGAGACCAGCCTGGGCCACATAGCAAGACCCCATGTCTACAAAAAATGTTAAAATTAGCTGGACGTGTTGGTATGCACCTGTAGTCCCAGCTACTCAGGAGCCTAAGATGGTAGGGATCACTTGAGCTCAAGAGTTCGAGACCAGCACAGGCAACATAGCAAGACCCCTTCTCTATAACAGGTTTAAAAATTAGGCCAGGCACAGTGGCTCATGCCTGTACATTGCCTCGTGTTGGGAGACCACAGCAGGAGGATTGCTTGAGTTGAGCCAGGAGTTCGAGACCAACCTGGGCAGCATAACGAAGCCCTGTCTCTACAAAAAATACAAAAACTAGCTGGGTGTGGTGGTGCACGCCTGTAGTTCAGTTGCTCGGGAGGCTGAGGCAAGAGAATCGCTTGAAACCCTGTAGTTTTAGGCTACAGTGAGCTATGATCATGCCAGCGTACTTCAGCCTGGACAACACAGTGAGACTCTGTCTCAAAAAAAGAAAGAGATAGACACCCAATAGAGCCTGGCATCCTCAGGGGGCTCCAGAGCTGGGCAGCGTCCACCCGGCAGCACCAGGATGGCTTAATGGAAGGTCTGACGGACCCCAGTTCTCACTCTGCTCACTGAGTCTGTGATGCTGGCCAGGCTGCCTGCCTTCTCAGATCCCCCTCCACAAAACTGGAATAACCACACCTGTCTGGGGGCTGTGAGTAGCAGTAATTTCTAGCACCAAGCCCGACTGGTAATAATAGTCATTGTTATTTTATCATCGCTATTTATGCTGCCTTGCAAAGCCATCTCCATTTCACAGCCCATAGCTGGGGCGGGCAGCCCCTGGGGAACTCACTCCGTCACCCTGGCATCCCACCATGCCTCAGACCCAGCCTCGGCCTGGCACATGCTCCACCCCCTCAGGTACTCGGCCTGAGGTGGTTCTCTATGCTCTGTGTCACTGCTCACCAGCTGCTGTGGCTGTAAGAATGTTACGGTGTTTCATCATTTTTATTTTTTTATTTTTTATTTTTTTTTGAGATGGAGCCTCACTCTGTCACCCAGGCTAGAGTGCAGTGGCACGACCTCAGCTCACTACAACCTCTCGGCTCACTGAACCCCGGGTTCACGCAATTCTCCTGCTTCAGCCTCCCTAGTAGCTGGGATTACAGGCATCTGCCACCACACCCAGCTAATTTTTATATTTCTAGTAGAGACGGAGTTTCACCTAACTAGCCAGGATGGTCTCGAACTCCTGACCTCAAGTGATCCACCCGCCTCGGCCTCCCAAAATGCTGGGATTGCAGGCGTGAGCCACCGTGTCTGGCCCTTTTTGTTTTTTTTTTTTTGAGACAGAGTCTCCCTGTCTCACTCAGGCTGGAGTGCAGTGGCACAATCGCGGCTCACTACAATCTCTGCCTCCTGGGTTCAGGTGATTCTCCTGCCTCAGCCTCCCAAGTAGCTGGGATTACAAGTGCCCGCCACCACACCCAGCTCATTTTTGTATTTTCAGTAGAGACAGAGTTTCGCCATGCTGCCAAGGCTGGTCTCGAACTGGCCTCAGGTGATCCACCCACCTTGGCCTCCGAAAGTGCTGGGATTACAGGCATGAGCCACCATGCCCGCCAAGCCTATTTTGTCATTTTAAACCACCGTGCTCTTCCAGTGTGGTGTTAACCAGACAGGGTGGTGTAGGCATGTGGAGATTGGAAACGTACGCTTCTATCCTCCTTATTTCCCATGGGTGAAAGTCAGTTAAAGGGGCGGTGTTCTCTGCAGTGCATGCAAGCACAACCCTACCGAGTGGTTGCAGTTTGTCTGCTGTTCATGGAAAGGCCTTGTGTGTCCTTTGTTTCTTCCATGGGGTGAGAAGAGAAGGGAGGCTGAGCACGGTGGCTCACTTGAGAATGACAGGTGGCCTGTAACCCTAGCACTTTGGGAGGCTGAGGCGGTGGATCACCTGAGGCCAGGAGTTCGAGACCAACCTGGGCAACACAGTAAGACCCCGTTTCTACAAGAAATAAATTTTTAAAAAATTATTTACGGGCATGGTAGTGCTTGCTGTAATTCCAACTGCTTGGGAGGCTGAGGTGGGAGGATCACTTGAGCCCAGGAGGTTGAGGCAGCAGTGAGCCATGATGGCATCTCTGCACTCCAGCCTGGGCAACAAAGCAAGACACTATCTCAAAAAAATAATAATAATTTTAAAAAAAGAACAGAGTAGCTGAGTTCCACTAAAGTTTGCTCAGTGATCTGACAGCCTGGGGGTTAGGCCAGCTTGTCCAGTGGAAGCCTCCCATCCGCCTGTCTGTACAATGCAACAGACAAAATAGAATGAGAGAAAAAGTCATATCAATGAGACCTTGTATAATTAAGTCAATTCATAAAAATAAAAATGTAGCTGTTGATTTGAAAAAATGGCTAATTCCCATATGTTCATCAGTTATTGAATCATGCAGCGATTCCTAGACTTGAGTCATCTCCCACTTCATAGCTTGTCACACATCCAAGGAAGCAGGTCAGTTGCATCACTCCCGCCCACCTCCTTATAGGAAGTGGCCTTCCGTGTAAATGCTGAAAATGAGATAGGGTCTAGCTCTGTAGCCCAGTGCAGTGGCACGATTATAGCTCACAGCAGCCTTGAACTCCTGGGCTCAAGCAATCCTCCCACCTCAGCCTACTGAGTAGCTGGGACTACAGGCACACGCTCCAAGCCCAGCTAATTTTTTTTTTTTTTTTTTTTTTTTTAAATAGAGATGGGGTTTCACCATATTGCCCAGGCTGGTCTCAAACTCCTAGGCTCAAGTGATCCACCCACCTCAGTCTCCCAAAGTGCTGAGATTACAGGGAAGAGTCTCAGTTTAAACACTTGTGAGTTGCAAGATTGCAATTACAAGATTGCGAACATTGAAATCTCACACTTGGCCTTATCTTCCATGCCACCATCATTGCTGGAGTCTTCCTTAATATTGGTTTTACTGGGTGAAGGTTTGTAGCTTTCTTCAGGCTCTCAAATGGGTCTGTAGCCCAAAAACAGTTAAAAGTCATGGCTAGGAAACATCTAGGAGTCATACAGATAATTTTCCAGGAATAATCATCTGATTTTTTTTCCCCCGTTCAACTGGGAGGCCTAAGCAAGGAGCAACTATTCATATATATGGCTTTCCCAAACATAGCAAGCTCCTTGGAATGAAAATAGATTCTTTTACCATGTTAGCATTAAGTAAAATTTTCTTTTTTTGAGATGGAGTCTTGCTCTGTTGCCCAGGCTGGAGTGCAGTGGCGCGATCTCAGCTCACTGAAAGCTCCGCCTCCCGGGTTCACACCATTCTCCTGCCTCAGCCTCCCCAGTAGCTGGGACTACAGGCACCTGCCACCACGCCCGGCTAATTTTTTGTATTTTTAGTAGAGATGGGGTTTCACTGTGTTAGCCAGGATGGTCTCGATCTCCTGACCTTGTGATCC